ACTAAAAACTCTTAGCAGTCACTTACAGGAGCCACCACTGCAGCCACTCCCTTGCTACCAGCAGAGCTGGAGACCAGGGAAACCTTTAGCAGTTACTTACAGGAGCCACTACTGTGGCCCCTCCCTGCTACCAGACAAAACCCATCACACAAAACCACAACAACAACACTATTGCACGTCATTTTTGCAAGCAAACCTTACAGAATGACCAGCAAAATCAGAAAATTATACAGCCAGTATCACACTAGACAATAACATGGAAAATAGAGATGGTTTTCTCATTGACAAAAACAGTGAAATAGCATATAAACTACCCATTACTGTACCTTCATGACATCTTTATAGGAATGAATGGCCTCAACTTCCTCTTTGTCATCATCATCCTCCTCCTCCACTCCTTCATCCAGAGCATCATAACCTTCATCCCTGCTCCCATCTGTTTCTGTGGTATTAGTCATCTGGTCAATAAGCTGCTCCAGTGGAGGACTTAATTCCCGCTCTTCATTGTCCTTCAAACCATAGTCCAGGGCTTTATATATAATAATTCCCAGTGATTCAATAACCTATAAAAGTGAAAAAGAAATATTTATTAATGCCATTTACATAAATGAATAGGTCAGCCTAGGAACACCCTTTTCTGGCATTTGTGTAAGTGTAACAAACTTAGCAACTGAGAGGAAAATAAACATCGTAATTAAAGAGAAAAATGATCCTCTAATACCTAGAGTAGTACTTCAGTAATGCAGCACAAAACATGCAAGAGCAGGTCATACCACATACCTACTGCCTTCTTATTTCAAAGTTTGAAATAAAAATTTGTAATTTAAAAACAAAGCAGGTCCTTTTTGGATTATTTTCCCTTTTTCCTTCTAGTATGACATACCTCAAAAGAACATTATTCTAGACTTTGCAAGACTATATAACATGCATATGACCTTTGGGTTGGGCAGGGGGGGAAGAAATTAAAAGAAAGAGTAAACTAACATGACATGCCTCCCTCCTCCCACAAATTAACGACTCTTGTAAACTGCCCTTCAGTTTCTGCATCTCTTCATTGACCTGAGAGGTGTCTGGACACAGCTGTGGACATCCCAATATTAACTCACTCAGCACAGGGACATGTGCCCACAAGAACTCCTTTGCCTGTTGTACAGCCGGTGGAGGCATGCATATCCTACTGAAACTGCCAACAACTGAAATTCATAGTAAAGAAGTAGTACCTTGATTTTTCATTGAATTTGAGGCTTCTTTTATGTGCTCTGTCAAGAGCGAGGCGAACAGATGACCTCTTATTCAGTGTAAGCTAATAAAAAATTGTCATGAACATCCTAAAATTGTAAATGCATGGTCTTTTTTTCTTGGCATTAATTATTTTCCTTACAAGCAATATTGAAGCTTCCAGCATTTTAAAGATGTAAAGAGATGTCATTTCAAATTGAACAGCTTGGAAATGGGTATTAATGGAGAGGGAAGGGAAAATAGACTTGCAAGTGTAAACCACAAGAAGGTAATGTCACTGCTGGGAGATCCTTGTCTGACAACAGAAGCAGGACTGGAGCTATTGCATGTAATCTCTGATCTGGTGTGTTGTGATGACTAGCGTGTCACACAAATGAGCAGACTCCAGTGTAGGAGTAGCTGGCACTAGAGCAACTTTAATAACAGGAGCATTTCTAAACATACCAAACCTTGTAATCAAATGCCATTTTTTCTCATCTGGCTTTCAGTACTGTCCCAGTCAACACAATTTTCATGCAGATTTTTGAAATTCTATTTGGACAACACAAATGGTTGCTTAAAACATTAAATTTGACTCTACCAGCTTACTTATTTTCAGCACAAAGTCTTTTCAGTCTGAGAAGCTGAATGTTAGCAAAGACTTAAAATGGTATCCTATTAGTTGATCTAGACAGACAATTTAATGAACCAGCTGTAGTTTGACAGCATTACATTTGCATACTTCATTCCTCTGTTGAGCTTACTTTGCGGTACAAATTCACTTTGCAAGATGGTGGCTAATAAACAAACAAACATAAAAAACAATACATAAAACCCACTCTTTTATAGTTTATTTCCAAGAATTTTGATAACTCCATTCCATATAAATAATTTCCCTATGCTATTCTCCTGAAATGTGTTTATACATATTTGGAAAATATTCTTAAAATGCAGTTAAGAAAAGTGGTTAGGCAAATTAATGAAGAAAAAAATTTATTTGTTTAGTTCAAAGAACAGCTTCTGACTAGGGAAATGCCAGTGAGACAACAAAGTATACCAGGAAAGCATCACTGCATGCTTGCTCAGTTCTTATACCCTTCCCCAAACTTCTGCCATGACCCACTCTGGAGACAGGACACTGCACCATACAGACCTTAAGAACAGCTGTAACAGATCAAACTTATGTTTGCAGCATATCTGTCTTGCCTCTTAGAGACGCTATTTTGTAATAACTGCCTTGTAAAATTTGTTATTAAAAAAACCTGAAAATATGGAAATTTCACTAAATAAAAATAAATTCTACTGGTAGACATGTACGTTTCCTGCAACTCAGGTTCTGAGTACAATCGCAACATACACCCCTTCAGCAACTGAAAAGGAACAAAGAATACCAAGTTAATTCCAATTTGAAGTAGACCTATATGAAAATGAAGTACAACTGAATAATCACCTTTATATTTTAAACACTTGGGAGTAAACACAATGTGAGTAATTTCTAACTTTAATAAAAACTAAATTTGAAAGAGCTTAGCATACATAAGGAAGACTGAAATGTTCAAATTAGATAAAAAGAAAAAAATGTCTTGTGCCATGCAGCAATGGCTACGGAAGACAGCTTCTGGATTTTGCTACAGCAACACTTTAAAAAAAATAGAACGGTTATAAAGAAAGTGCACTCTCTCTGCCTCCTTCTGTATGGGAAGAGGATTAAGGCATTCAAAAGCACCGTGGCTAAACTGGATGACAGCTGCTGCTTTCTTTGATGTATCAGCAGAGGGGCTCTTGCAGTTCAGTAATATGGTTTGTGCATTTTTATGTACTATGAACAGATTTCATAATACATGCAAAGCTGACACAACACGAAAGCCGGCAACAGCACCAATTCAGAGCTACATTTCAGTCTCTCAGCTCCTTATTCAGGAGTTGTGATCAAAACCATATTTATTCAGTGTCTGTCAGTATCACAGATTCTTCTTGCTGAAAGACAAAGGAGCAAACATCTTAACGGAGAAACTTTGCTTTGACTTGCATTAAAACTGAAAACATTCAGTGCTTTCAGTAATACTGGTTTACTGAGGATCTTGTAAAACCACACAAGCACCATATGAATACCAAAAGTCACGGAATTGCCAGTGCTGCTTCACATGGACAAAACCACTAATGCATCTTCAGACAAATAAAACTTCTATGTCTATGTAACTAGAAACCCTAATATGCAAGGTTAGACAGTCAGCTCATTGCTGCTTTAAGGCATGAGTGCTGTCACTTTGCCTGTAATACAAATCAAATAAAACAAAAAAGGAAAAGCTTTTCACAGTTGAATGGATGAATTAATAAATATGTGGGGTTTTAAGTTGGATAATTGGAGACCATAAGTTTTTTTTTAAAAAGCATCAATTATTTACAAAGAAGTCACTGGTTCTAAACTGCACTGTTTGCTAATTTCACTCAAAATAAATACTTCTGGCACCTAATAAGTGACAAGCACTGGCATAATTTTCAATTGTTTCTGTGAAAACAGAGGTATAGTAGGGAAAAAAAAAGGCTAAGAAGGGACTTAGCAAGGCTCTTTTCGACCACACAGTTGCACGCTGACACACCAAAACAACTGTACAACACTGAAATAAGTAACAGCACTAATGATGATGTTGCTTTATTCGGATAAAAAAAATTAAGTTCTGCACCTTGAATTTTAGAATTCATTTGTTCCTGACTGACTTAAATTCTGCTGAAGAACCTGTTCTTTGCAAATCAATCAGTGGCTAAATAGCTTAAAAAATAAACAAGAAGTCTGCATTATTATGCTTCACATCTTCTCACCAAGTTCTTTTGAAAGTAATGGCTGCAGACCAAAAACACAAAAACATTTCCCACAGACTGAACTTGTACTCTGTTGTGCTTAAAATCACTAGTGAAAGGGGAATTTTGTCTCACTGTAACTGGGTATTCTTTCAGTTCCTACACCAGTCTGGACTCATATTATCCTATTCTTTTATAACAGGTTGCCCTAAAGTTGCTGGAACACCAACTGAAAACACGATGTAAAAACAATATCCTCATGCCCCTTTTACAAACATAGCAAAAACAAAACTCAAGCCATTCAGATTGTTTTCATACACAAGTATTGCATGGAACTTTCCATTCCGCATACCATCCTCCAACACATTAAGGCATGCCTCTTAGAAAGGGGTTCATTGGGGTTTTAGGTCTTTTCTGTGACACAAATTATGTTCTTCCAATGAACACGGACAATTTCACATTCTCAAAAACTCTTCAAATATACAGCTTTTGTATAGGAACCAAACCTGTTTTGAGTCTTGCAAAAGTCTTGAGTGAAATTACTGTACTTTTTTTTTTATTTTTCAGAGAAGAATCCTTTTTCCCCCTCGACATATATCTCTCTGACTCTGAAATGTAGATGAGAACACGCAGAATCCACATGCCATTCTCCCCACTCCCCACACACACAATAGGGCACGGTCTGAGCTTTCATCCCCTTCCTAGGCTTTGCCTCAATTTTAAACAAAGCAAGAAAGCCTAACAACAGAGTTGTACTTAGAGCACAAAAAGGCTTTTTTTTCCAGCTCAAACACCTGTCCCTCCCTAAAGTTCTCCCTTCCTCCAAAAGCCACTCAGTTTTTGTATCCCTAAAGCGTGATTAAAGATGCAATAAAGCTCCAGCTCCTAAAGGTGAGTCAACTAACTTTGAAGTTTCCCACAGGGACTTCAGATATGGCAACTAGTCACAACAATATTTGCATTACTACTGCATTGTCTTTTATGAATTCTCATATTTTTTTTAATTAAAAATTTATACTACAATTACTACTTTTAAGCACTCTTAATTTCTTACCAGCAGATCTCTGACACACTTTATGAAGGAGAATCACTCTACCTTACAGCAGGAGTGCTGAGAGCCTGGAGCTGGCCTTACCTATGGCACTCCTTAGGGCAGAGCTCCTCTCTGCCACCACCCCTAGCATTAGGCAGCACTTAGTCTGCAAAGACTAACCTGTCCTATACAGCATTCTAAATTAGCCTGCCAGGGGCTCCACTCCGTGCTTCTGGAATCATAACACACAGCGTAAACATATCCACAGACAACTCTGAAAGCAAGAGTTAGGTATGTTAAATTTTCTGGGGCACATTAGGATAAGACACACAAGCACACACAAGTTTTTGTCATAAAATTATGTAATACAGTCCAAAAGATGGGCATGTTAAAATTTTATGTAAACCCAACTGTTCCTCTCCAGCTAGATGACAGAGAGAGCAAGCTACTGCCCTGGTTATCATTTCCATTTGTAACAAAGTAATTTGCTTGCTTCTTTAGTATCCATTCTGGAACTGAAAAAGATCATGCTTTTAGCAACAGTGAACAAATAACGGGGTTAGGATAAACCAAAGTACACTTTTTGGTTATTTACCTGATCCTCAGATGCCCTACATAACTCTGAGCAGTACCTCACGGAAGACTATGTCTAAATAGGTTGTTGTAAGAGATCCATTGCTGTCAGTGCACACCTTGGGTATAATAATGTAGTTTTTACCACAGCATTCCCCAGTGGAAGCAGGCTAGCATTGCCCAGGTTTTAATAGCTGGGGCCATGGCTAAATTTAAATATGACCTTCACTAAATTAGAGCAACTTGCAACAGACTGTCAAATGAGAACAGTGAAAAAACTTCCAAGTGCTTCCACATAAGCAGCAAGGATTCAGAATACTTCCAATGAATTAGGTGGATCACTCATTTCCAAAGAATATGGACATAAAATACAGGATTGTTTAACTTCTGGATCGTGTTGGTTTGCTACTGAAATAACAAGATACTGCCTTCTGCAATACAATGAGCCTTGCTATTTAAGTCAAAGCAGTAATAAAAACAAAGAAAAAAAATTTCGGAGTATGTCGGGTCTAACAGAAAAATAATTATGAAAGGAAATTAAATACAGCTTCAACAAGATTCAGTCTATTTTAGATACAAAGTTCGGAAAATTTCTCTACTGTATTCAGGGAATCCTTTTTCAAAAGGATTTTGTATCCATGAGTCTTTGAATGCACTAAGTGGGTAGAGAGACCTACTTACTGAATTATTTTTACTATCCCAGTATACATTAAAGACATTCAGTGGAAGAACTCCTGCTCAAAGAAGCCTAAATCATACAAAGAGGATGCTAGCTTTTTTAGGTTTGGTTTTGATGCCCCCAAAGTGAATATATAAAAATTTAAGCAGTTAAATAATGTTGGACTCAATTGCTTCTAATAAAGTAGGAGTCATTTAACTGCAAGTTTATTAAGGCTTAAGTGCAATATAACTCCAACTTTTTCAAACATTCTGACAATCATAAACTTGTTTTTCGATGTTCAAGTTTCACTATAGGTATTATCTAAGGAGAACTATCATTTATTAGCATAAATGAAAGCAGAGTTTATTCCATTGTATCAGTCTCAACTTACATTTTACCTGCTGTATTAAAACACTGAAAGAAAAACCTCATTTTTCTTCTAGTTTTTGTTCATACATTATAATCCCCAAGATTAAGACAAATCACTACTCTGTTATTAAGGAATTTATCCAACCTGAATGAATTTCAGCAAAGTGACAGTTCAACCCCAGAGAAAAACAAAGTTAAATACCCTGATTTAACTGTGGAGACTCCAGTAATAGCTGAAGCTCCAGTAAAAGAATTAGGTGCAATAATTAAGTATCACAGATAGTGAAAGTCATTTGAAAGTTCTTAAATACACCTCTGTTCATATGACGGTTTTAAATACAGGTCCTGTTATCCTGATCCTA